ACTCACAACCACCTTTAACTCTAACTTCCAAGGGATCTGATGGCCTCTTCAGGCCTCTGTGGGAACATGCACTCACATGTACATATCCACACAGAGACATATATACATATAAATAAATAAATAAAAAAACTATTCCCCTGCCATTTGCAAAACTATTTACTTCCTACTACATACATGCAGCCTTTATTAAATGCCTACCATATGCCCAGCACTAAGCAAGGCTCTAAGAACTGATGGGGTCCACTCTCTTCCTGCCTACGTGGATGATCAAAACCCTCTTTCTAGACCAAGAACACCCTGTGTCCTCAGTGGGCCTCCAGGACATGGGAGGTGAAAGCACAAGAGATGGGAGGGGGCGATGGGGCTGGAGAGGTGGCTCAGTGGATAAGAATACTGACTGTTCTTGCAGAAGACCCAGGTTCGAATCCCAACACCCACATGGCAGCTAACAACTGTCCGTAACTCCAGTTTCAGGGGGTGTGACAGTCTCTTCTGTCCTACGCAGGCACTGCACGACACGGGTGCACTTACCTACATGCAGGCAATACACACATACACATAAAATAAAAATAACAAAACATGGGGCTGGAGAGATGGCCCAGAGGTTAAGAGCACTGACTGCTCTTGCAGAGGACCTGGGTTCAATTCCCAGCACCCACAAGGTGGCTATGAACCATCCTTAACTCCAGTTCCAGGGGAATCCAAAACCCTCTTCTGACCTCTGCGGCATTGCATGACACGGGTGCACTCAGATACATGTAGGCAATATACTCATACACAGAAAATAAAAATAATAAATAAAAACATATATAATAACAATAATAAAACATTTTTTAAAAAAGAGATGGGAGGGGGAGATAACCAGGGAGATCTTACCAGGATGATCATATAAACAAAGGCAGACACTCTTTAAGGGAGCAACTCCCGAGAGGTCTGGTAAGCCTACGCCAATCTGGCAATTGCTTCTCACACAATCTTGCTTTGTAAACTTTCCCTGATAGATGAGAAAATGGTCTCAGTGTTGGGGCCAAAGTGACTAAAAGACAAGTACGTGAGATGCATGAGGAAGTAGACAACCTTATCAGACTGCCCATACATATATCTAGATCCTGGTGAGAAGGCAGAGCTGAAGGGGAGGCAATGGTGGCAGGAAATCAATGAAGTGCACAGGGAGGGCAGCCTGTGGTAAAGGATGATGGGAGCTGAGGGTGGGGCCCCTGGCTGAGCATTTGGCAGGAAAGAGGTGAATAGTACCTGAGAGAACCAGCAAGGCAAGCCAACCCATCAGATCCAGGGCTTCCGCCTACTTGCTAAAGAGACAATGGGGGCGAGGGTGGGGCTCAGCACACCTGCATCCCATAGTAACAGATTTCCTTGAACAGTGAAATCTGCAACTCAGCTGGAAAGGGAGAACACCAGGAGTCACTCACAAGCAAGTTGTCACAGATGCCACTGGCCACTTTCCCCAGAGTGTTGGCATCTAGGGGAGCCACTAGCATGAGGTCTGCCCACCTCCGCAGGTCAATGTGAAGAACTGGGTCAGAACGGTGCTTCCACATCTGCCAAAGAAAAGAAATGAGAGTCACCAAGCTAGTCACTTTTGGTGTGGGAGAGTTGTGGTGGTCAAAACAGGCCAGTTACGATAAGCTGGGACACCCAGGGAAACCACCTAGCTCTCACTCAAAGTACACCACTATCCCCTCTCACAGTGAGGCTGGCAAGCACTGGCCGTGGAGCCAGAAGCCTGACAGAAACCAGGCCTGAGGAAACAAACTCCCCTTGTCTTTCCGAGCTTATTCCCTTTATGGTTTGGGTTTCAAGAGAACTGACATCTGGCAGGGAACTCCTGGCCTGTCTGCTTGAGGCGGATGCTTGGGTTGTCCAAGCCAGTAGAAGGGCTGTGGGGCGGTAAGAAATGATGGGGGTTGAGAGGGGAGGGCAGCCCAGCCAGAAATGTTCAGGGCTGAGAACATTCAAAAATGCCTGGCTGGGCAGCTCTATGAGGCCCACACTCTGCGCCTGGCAGCTCAGCTGGTGCCCACCCCTCTGCAGGAGGGCAGAGGCACAGGCGGCAGCCGTGGGAAGTGAGGCACTCTGGACAGCCCTGACGCTGGGAGCCACGTGGACATGGGTGATGGGAACAGAGCTCCTCTGTGGTTTCATCAGCCGAGATAAGTACAAGGACACTCAACCCTGGGCACTGGGCCAAAGCTGAGCTCTGCCTGAGGAGGGCAGGGACTTCGGGCCTCCCACAGGCCAGAAGCTAGACAGATGTTTTCCTCATTGCCTCTACCCATTTGGCCCTGACCACTGACTTGAGCCCAGTCTGTGTGCTCCAGCAGCCAGGACCATAGGCCTCAGAGAGGACAGCTCTGTCCTGCTGGAAGAAAAGCAATGGAACTTCACCCCAGGCCCCAGCACTGACCTCCCATTCATCGGCATCACTGTAGAGGGTGACAGGAACATCCTCAGGGCTATAGAAATGTTTGGCTCTCTCTGTTGTTACCACTGCGACTTCCAGCTGTCACCAAGAAAAAGGGGTGGGAAGGGAGGAAAGGGAGAAAAAATTACTGGAGCCACAGACCGAGAGGCCTCAAGAGGGCCAGAAGCAGGCAGATGCTGTCCTCACAGCCCAGCTGTGAACAGGACTTCCCCTTAGCAATGAGCCCCATGTTTGCACAGTTACTTCCGCTGTCACTCAAAGGTCAGGCCCTGCCAGGTGCAGCCATTTCACTTCCCTATCTAAGGGGCTGCTGAGGAATAAGTCATCAGCTGCCCAGGGTATATAAAGTGGCAGGCTCCTACAATCACTCGGGCAGTGAGGCAGTGGTAGGCAGATGACAGGAAGGGCACTCAAGGCTACCACAGGCAAGGGGGGCCAACCAGGGACTCACAGACCTGAGTTCCATGTCACAACAGCCTACCCTCTGCAGATCGTAGTACTGAGTTGGCACTTACACGTTGCATCCCCTCGCCCACTTTCAGAAATAAGGTCTGGGAGGCTCAGGCTGCAGACAGGCTCTGGGAAAACCAAGTCCATGCCCTCATCTAGGAAGACTGAGTATGTCTTCAAACTGTCCATTTTATAGTGTAAACAAGGAGGGTGTTTACCCTCGGTGACAGAACCTGGCTGAGAGAAACAGCACAGGTAGTGTGAAGGGCCCTAGATGGGCTGGCCATTGTTTATAGAAGCAGATGTCAGACTCACAGGCTGGTAACAGAGGGACTGGGAGGAAGTGACTGGGAGGGGAAAGGTGGAGGAAGCCACACCTTAGGAGAATCCACCAGTCCGGAAAGGACATCACCCAGGAGGGAGATCAGTCAAGAGTGACAGAAAGCATTACTGATGACCAGGGCAAAGGCAATGGTGTCTGACCAGAACCAGCCACAGACCCTGCATGTGGCCTGCACAGGGTTATAATCATTTCTGAGCTAATGCATAAATTAGAAGATTTCACACAGGAAATTCAGTTTCCTGGCTTTTCAAGAAACACTACAAGCTCCAGTGCTGGTGGATCCACATTCCTGCTTGCTAAGGACTTGCTGATGTTAGGTCAAGGCTGCCTCTTTGGACTTAGTCTAGTAGCCCCGGCCTTCTCCAGGCCCTTCTCCAGAGTTCTTTCTTCCTGTTGTACAGGGCAGGGGAACTGGAGAGTAAAGCTAGGGCTGGGGCAGCGGTCTCAGAGAGGAAGGGCTAAGGACGCGATAGGCCTAGGGTTCTGAACATCACCTGTTCACTCTCACCTCACTCCTTCCCCCACCATCCCTAGTCCCTCCACAGAACCTCAGGGATGGTCTTCGATGTCCTTTAGACCAAACCATCACTGAGTGCTGGAGGCCTCTCTAAAGCAGCCATGAACAAGTTTACCAATTCTGAATAATAACAAATGAGCAGGTGCCCTGTCCCTCCACAGAACCCAGCCCCGGAGAAGACTCTGGACCCACACAGGCAGGGAGAGCAGAGGGAGGGGGAGCCATACTGAGGGGCTTCATACAGTCATGGGGAAGATACAAGACAATGCTAAGGCCAAGCGTAGGGTATAAGGTTAGGTCATCCTGAGAAGAATGACACACAACTTCAATCATAACATAACTGAGAGAATGAAAATGCAACTACACAACAAAGGAAAGGAGAAGAGCAGAGAAGACACAAGTAGAAAGCACCAAATAAGGTGACAAAAGCAGCCTCACATACCTATAACCTCAGCACTTGAAAGGCAAAAGGATCATGAGTTCAAGACCATCCTGGGCCATATAGAGAAACCCTATTTCAGGAAAGAGAAAGGGGGCCAGTTGTGTTGGTGGAGCACTTACTGCTCTTAACTGAGGACCCAAGTTTAGTTCCCAGCACCCATGATGGGTGGCTCACAACTGCCTGTAACTCCAGCTCCAGGGTATCCAGCACCTGCTTCTGGCTTCCTCAGGCACTGTACTTATACTCTCACACATATAAGCATAATTAAATATAAAAATAAAAATGACTTATAACAAAAGAGAGAGAGAGGGCTAAGGTGGTGTAGTTCAATTCGTAGAGTGTTTGCCTAACATACACAAAGCCCTGAGTTTGATCCTCATGCTGTATAAAACCAGGCATAGTGACATATGCCTGTAACCCCTCCATTCAGAAGGTAGAAGCAGGAAGATCAGAAGTTCAAGGTCATCTTTGGCTATATTTATATAGTGAATTCCAGGCCAGCTTGGAATACAAGAGACTCTGCCTCGAAATACATACATACATACATACATACATACATACATATGTGAATGAATAAATAAATAATAAGAGAAAAGAGAGGTTGGGGATATAGGTCAGTGGTAGAGGCCCTGGGTTCAATTCTCAGTACTGGGGGAAAAAGTGACTGACAGAATTAAGTTCTAATGTGATAAATATAAGTAGGTTACACTTCTGATAAAAAAAAATCACATTCTCCAAATTGACAAGATGGCTCAGTGGGTAAAGGCACTTGCCAGCAAGCCTGACGACCTGAGTTCAATCCCTGGAACCTACCTGGTGGAAGGAAAAAACCAACTCCAATAAGCTGTCCTCTGATCTTTACATGTGCCCCGTGGTACACTTATGCACACATACACACATACAATTAATTAAAATGTGAAAATCACATTCTTATCTTTTATGTGCTTTTATTTGGGGGTTTTGTTGTTGTTGTTGTATTGCTTTGGTTTTTTGAAACACAGTCTTCCTGTAGCCATGGCTGGCCTGGAATTCATTATGTAGACCAGACTACTCTCAATCTCACAAAGATCCACCTGCCTCTGCCTTGGGAATGATGGGCTGCCATCATGTCCAGCTTTTTTCTTTTGGGGGCTATCTTTTATGTTTTTTATTTTTATTTATTTATCTTTTTTTAATTTTTATTTTATGTGTATGAGTATATTGTCTGCATGTATGTGAGTGCACCCGTGTCGTGCAATGCCTCAGAGGTCAGAAGAGGACTTCGGATTCCCTTGGAACTGGAGTTAAGAACAGTTCATAGCCTCCATGTAGGTGCTGGGAATTGAACCCAGGTCCTCTGCAAGAGCAGTCAGTGCTCTTAACCACTGAACCAT